CTTTTTTTAACAAAAGAAATCTTCCATTTTTGTATTTTATTGCAATTAAATTTTATTCCAACCATCGCGATCTTACTCAATAAATTTTCTACATCTTCTATATATATATTGTACCTTTAGTCGTCCATAACTTCATCCTTAACAAAGAGAAAACCTTAAAAAAAAATCATCAATATATCTGCATCAAAAAATGGCCGACTATTCAATGGTTAAAGATCTCACACCATGGGAGGAGTTCAAACAGACAATCAAAGTGAAGGTACTCAAGAGATGGGATACGGTTGATTCAGAAGGCCATGAAGGAATGTATTTCATCTTGGTTGATGAAATAGTAAGATTCGTTATTGTCCAAAGAATTCATTTATATTTTGGTTGTTAATTGTTGTTTATTTAAATAAATATTATAATTTGTGCTAGGGATCTCGAGTTGCTGCTATGGTTAACGACTTCAAACTCTCTTACTACAAGAGGGTTTTCCAAGAAGGTTTTTGGCTTCGACTTTCACAGTTTCGCTTGGTTAACTCCGGTTGGAATGAAAGAACCACAAATCATGCTTACAAGATCATTCTCAATCAGAGTTCAAAGGTGAATTATATCAGACCTTTGAGCCAGGATCTTTTCATCAAAATCGTTGATTTTCCAAGTGTTTACAACTGTCCTTCTCACTACTACCCGATCGGTATGTTTCCTTTTAATAATATTCTGTTTTTGTATAAAATGCATACGTCTCTTTTTGTTTTTCATGTATTCAAAACCAAATAAAATAAAGTTATGTTATATAGACATGCATTGATTATTGGGATTTTATTCAGATTTAATGGGTATTTTTGATAAGGAGATTGGCAATGTTGTTGAAGATTTCAATGATGAGAACAGTGTTCCAACCCTACATTTTCGTATCAGTTATATAGAGTAATGCCTTCTACTATGTTTTATTTGATTTTGTGATTATAGAAATTTCTATTTAGTAAGAATTTTTCTTTATCTCTAGGGGTAACACACTGAACTGTGTCGCACATGGTGATTTGGCTTATGATATCAAGGAAAAATCAAACTGCGAATTACTTAAAGGACCATATCCCATATTGACTGATTGTGTTTTTAAGAAAAATGAGAGTAAGTAGCCATTATGTATTTATTGTTGCTTTGATATTTTATTTTTTAATCAAATTGTTTTATTCCTTATAACTTTTTTTTAATATATATAGATGAAATTACGATCACTGATTTTGAAGAAGGAAAGCTCTCACGTTTCTTGGTTCATCCAGATATTGATGAAGTAAACGATCTCCGTGCCAAGTAATATTTTCCCTTACCTTACTAATCACGTTTTCAATTTTAAATTTATTTTAGTTATCCTTACTTATTTTTATTTTATGTATTTGTTCAGGATTTGGCAAAAGCTAAGGGATTCGGCCCACAATGCTTCATCTTCTGGAACAAGAGATGTGTAATTTGATTTCATCAAATCCTGAACTTCTCTTTCTTAACTATCTTTAATTTCATATCAGTAATCAAAAGGAGTGATGTCCTCCTTCTTTGTTGAATGTTAAGACTTATGATTTTTTTCTCGGATTTTTTTGAAGTTACACTTTGAACTATTACCTTTTTTATTATAACTATTTAAAATATATTTTATGTTATCATAACTATTATGATTTGCAAAAGATTACAATTTATGCGAACTAAATGATCTTATAATCGAATACAATCGTTCATTTATAATTTTACTTTATTAACAAATTTTTTATTCAATTTAATTTTAGTACTTACGTTGTAACCACAAAAAGAATTAATAAGTTAGTTAATAATGGATTTATATTAAATTATTATGTTAAATAATTAATGGAGATATTTGATAATATACTAATAATTTTAACGTTTGTTATTTGTTCTTACTTGGTCTTTACGTAAACAAAGATACTTATGCTGTGCTATATCTCCAATTGTTTGTCTCCTTATATTTCAGCATTTGGAAAATATAATGACTAGATTTCCGGAAGAATTTAGATATGATAGTAATATTATTAGAAACTTTATGTTTAGGGTAGCATTCCTTAAATTAATCATTGTTAATATTTGATTACATATTCTATAATCATCTTTCCTTATTTACGCGAGATAACACATATAATGAATATATACGTAACAAATCATTTTAATAAAAAATTACGAATACGACTTCCATATATTTGTCATATTACTTATTTGAAGTTGCACAAAATATACGTTAATATTTAATTCTATAATCTGTTAAATGTATCGTAACTACCTCAACAAAACTATGGAAATATTCTTAAACAATATAGAGAATCGTAATTTATGCCATCTAAGATATAACTAACAAGATACATATTCCTTAAATCACTGACTGTTGCAAATTGTTTTACAATTCGTCGTATATACTCAAATAATTTTGGGACGTCATATCCTTAATTTACTAACATACTCCTATATAAACCTTTGCTGCAAACCATTTTATTCATCTTTAATCGAAACCTCAAAGAAAATGTGTGAATACCAAATGGTGCATGAGTTACAATCTTGGGAGGATGGTTGGACAATTAAGGTGAAGATTTTAAAGAGATGGGGGGCCTTTGATGCTGACGGTCTTCGTGTGATGAATTTCATATTGTTTGATGAGAATGTAAGTTTGATACTCATCTCTATCAATGTCTTATATTATTAGTACTTCATATCGTTTTGCTACTAATGTTTTATATCAATTACCCTAACAGGGTTGCAGAATTTCTGCATACGTTGGTAACCTCAATCTATCCTATTTCGAATACGTTTTGCAAGAAGGAAATTGGGTGCAGTTATCCAAATTCAAACTAATTCCTTTTAAGTGGGAAGAACGGACTACAAGACACGTTAAGCAAATAATTTTAGATGGTGAAACTAAGGTCAGTTCCATCCAACCTTTGACTGGAGATCCTTTCCTTCGTTTTGTTGATTTCAGCCGTGTTTACAATAAGCCTTACAGCCACTTCTACCCAGTTGGTAAGTATTAACATTTATCTTTATTAATTATGTATTTAACTATGTTAGTGTTATCGATTATAGTATTGTATGATTAATTGTGTAATATTGATCAGTTGTGGTACTACAATATTTTTTAAAGCAGATTTGATTGGTGTTCTGGATCATGTCGACAATATGGTAACAGTTGTTTATCCCGATGACAAAAGTGTTCCAACACTGAGATTCCGAATTAAAGACCTGGAGTAAGTAATATAATGGTTTCATGTTTTTATATCATTATTTGAGATACAATATAATCATAATAATTATAATGTGTAGGAATTGTACTCTTAACTGTGTTGCACATGATGACTTGGCTTACGAGATAGAAGGGAAATGCAAAGGTCCTGTAGGGAAGAGTCCATTTGCTATTTGTGTCTTAACTGATTGGTTGGTTAAGAAAAACATTGGTGCGTTTATATGATTTTCATATTTATAAGACAACCTTATACATAGTCAAAACTTGATTCCCTTATATTATTTATATATTAGATGAAATGACAATTGAAAATTACAAGGAGGGATTGTTTTCACGTTTTGCTATTGCCCCGCCATTGGATGAAGTCAAAGGCTTTGGGATCAAGTAATAATCGTTATTAACATTCAATAGTTTTAGATTATGATTTTTTTTACTGACTAATTACATGAAAAATATTATTCTCAGGCTTGCAAAGAAGATAACGGAAGTATACGTGAGTGCTTCAAGTTCTCAAGGAAGAAAGGATTAAGACTTATTTTATGCTATCTTATATTTTATATTCTATTTTTTATTTTGTTATGAGTGGTGTTCTCCTAAGTTTGTTTTAATAAATACTTTGTTTCTCTTCCTACCATATTTAATTTAATTTCAATAAAGTGTATTATTTGGATATTAATTTTTTGCATTATTTGTTAGTCATATATTTTGTCTTTTTATTCGCTGATGAGTAGTAGAAATTTAAAATAGACATGCAACCAACATAAACAAGTTTTATTCTGTTATATTACACAGTGTATATATATCGTTGTACTTCTATATAAATAGTACTATCATATCATCAATAAATAAAAAACCACTTAGATTTAATCAAAGATAATATATGAATTTATTAATGGATTTTTAGTTTCTAAATTTGAAACTATAAATATAGATTCCTGATCTTAGAAAATATTCATTCGAGATATTCGGTTTCCATTAGACATATTAATCTAACTGTATTACTATAAACCTAAAGTCTCCTATTTATATTGGATTTTGCAGTTGTCTAAAACCTAGATACCACATCGTACCCTTTCACCATGGAACTCTATCACCGAATTTCCGATTTGCAATCATGGAGATCGGACTGGAAAATCAAAATATTGGTTTTAAAAAAATGGGATACTCTTGGTCCACAAGGAATTGAAGGTTTGGAATTTATTCTGGTGGATGAAGAAGTAAGTTATTGTTATTTATTTCATAGTAGTATTATTATTCATAAACATCTAAATATATTTATACTGAACTTTTCAAGGATGCAAGATTCAAGCTTCGATGACTAATCTTGTGTTGGTTTCGTATTATGATCAAGCTTTGCAAGAAGGACAATGGAATACTCTACATGATTTTGTTGTAAATGATTCATTTTGGTTTCAGAAAACAATTCATCATAAATGGAGGATTTTTCTACTTCAGAACACTACTGTCAAAAGGCTATATGAAATCCCCACCGATACTCAATTTATGTCTTTCTCAGAGTTTGAGGATATTTTGGATGGGACTATTGATCATAAGTATCTTATTGGTATTTGTCTTATACAATTCTCATTGATTTTCAATTTAAAATCTTTTAAATATCTTTTGATACTTTATGTGATATTAGATTTATTTGGTGCTGTTGTCCACGTTGGACGACTTACAAGGATTAAGGATTACGGACTAGATTGTGATTTTCGTAGATACTATAGTCGACTACGATTTACGTTGAGAAATCTCAAGTAAGTATTTGAATCGTTACCCATTTAATTGTATGTTATTAAGATAACAATATATTTTGTTAATATATTGTAGGAATGTTGAAATTAGTTGTGTTGCTTATGGTAACTTGGCTGATGATTTTCAATCACAATTGTGGTCTGCATGTGGTTCTAATATAACATGTGTATTGACAGACTGGCATATAGCTTACAACAATGGTTTATTTCTAACTAAGTTCTTAACATTTAATCATGATAACAGTAGTTATTATGGTCAGATCAAATATTAGTTATACGTAAAATCTATGTTTTAGGGTCATTGACTATTTCAGATACAAGAGGGATGTCAAGGTTTCTTTTTGATCCCCATAGTGTTGAAGTTGACAAGTTCAAAGATAAGTAAGTACTATATAAATATTTGATATTATTCTAAATGCCAGTAATAACATATCTATATATAATTATTTAGGTACTTCAAATCCAATAAGACGGAGAACAATGACATTGAGATTAAAGACTAATCTCATATATCATATTCACCTATTAATTATGGTTGGAGGTTCAACTATTCATGTCGTTTAGCTACAAAGGTGACCAAATGAAGTAGTCAACGTTTTAATTCTATGAACTTATGTCAAATTCAGGATTTATTAATAAGAAAGATTGCTTTCATTATTCTCTATAGATGTTTGCTCATTACAATATATATATGTATATATATTCGTCTAATACTATATACGTTTATATTATGTAGACAACATTGAAAATTTAAATAATATCATCCTCAATTATAAATAACCAATACCATACCAAGTTAATATACATTCAAGTAATGCGACAAATATATAAAATTGTTTTTATAACCTAACTATTAACATACACACAAAGAAAAATTTAAATTGTATCTGCTCTCCAAACTTGAAATCTTTATAAAAAAAAAACTTCTCGTGCACAGCACGGGTCTAAATCTAGTAATCTTATATTTAAAATTAAAAAATCGTTGTTGGGTTTTGTTTATGAGGTTTAAGTTATTGGTCGTAATTATTCTCATGAATCATGATTACAAAATTACAATCTGTTCAAAAAATCGGCTACCTAGCCGCCCGCTTAGTTGCTATGCGGAGGAAAGCCACCGCGATTTTGGGCCAATCGGCTAGTTTAGGCGGGTTTTCGACTTTTGACCGTCTAGACCGATTTATTAAACCAGTCGGTGAATTATATCTAAAAATCGGCTCAGTTTTGACCAATTAGATAACTCATTTTAGTAAAACAATTTGGCCCGAAAAGAGCTAAGTGCACAACTCATGGCTGCGGGGTGCTATCAAAACGAGAGTGAAGTGTATTTATACTGAAGTGCAACATTTATAAGCCCATGATATTATTAAAATATAGGCATTTGCATAGGATAGCACTTAAGTTACATATGCGTTCGTTTTTAGCCTTTTTAAGAAGCTTTGCAGATTTAACACTGATTTTACTGTTCATGACTATTTCACTCATGTAAAACACGATGAGTATGATAGTGTACCATTACACAGAACAGTAAGGGATGCGGTAAGATGATCATTTCAACGCCAAAAGAATTAGATTCCATAAGACTTTTGTAAAAGTGCTATTTTGCTAATGTTTTCTACTAAAATGCTATCCGACATAGTTTTTGTCTAAGAAATTAAAGTGTCAGGTGATCCAGTTTATCACAAAGTTTATCACAAATGGGTTTGATATACTATGTGACTATGTCACTTAGTTTTGAACTTTCATTGAGTTTAGTTTTGAAAAAAAATCTACTCTCCAACAATTATTTCTGACCGGTTCAGAAGAACTAATCATGAATTAATGGCTTTGACCAAACTTATGCATGAACCCAAAACAAAAATGGAAGAAATAAGTTGAACAAAAAGAGACAACAAACAGTTGCATCTAAAATTTTGAAACAGTCGGGGTCTTTTACATAGAGAATCGCTCAGAACACAACACAAAAACATAAATCTCTCAAGACAAGACAGACGGTTTTTTTTTGGTGAGGACAATATTGTCCTTTGATTTTACAAACAACAAAACCCTCACCTAAAAATCAAACATGACTAAATCAAATCCTAACCAGTGACACAACAAAACCTGAAATCGATACCAAAAACAAAAGCCACAAGCAACATCCTTCCTTCTTTCTTTCTTTCTTTTTACCATTTGGCTCTAGAGACTGAGTTTCTCCAGAATTTTATTCCCAAACCTGTTGCACCTCATCAATGGTTTGTTAAGCCGTATATGCTCCACCAAGATGCTTCGCAAATTATAGTCCTGCAAACACAAAACAAAGATTCTCATGATCTTGCGCATTATCTCTACGCAGCATTAAACAATGTACTGCATTAATATTCGTTACCTTACACACAGCCCATGCGGTTTGAATGACATAGTTTCCAAACGGGTCTGTAAGAAGTGTATCAATATCTCTATCACTTAGCAAGTCGAATAAAATCACTCTACTAGTGTCGATATACTGTATATTCAAGAGCTTCTGCACAGCATGACTTCCATATTTGTTGCGGGAGAGGTATGCATAGCTCCCAACAAGGTGCCTCACGAGCTGAATTGTCACACTTGGATTTTCTAGCTCCACTACATACTGCACCACGTAGTTCCTGAAAGGACAACATTGTGAGTAAACAAAAGTCGATCTATATATATATGAGATATAAATATGATAGGTTGTGTATAGCATTCATCATCGTGTTTACCCGTAGCAGTTCACGCAGAGTCTCAACGAGTTAGCAATTATCTCGCGAATCAAACGTTGCTTTAGCACATTACAATTAATGTCAAGACATTGCTGAAGCATGCAGCAGCCATGTTGATCAATTGCTATCGGGTAACAATTCCGAGCGATAACCTCAAGAAGAATCTGTAAACAACACAGGGGATAGAAGAAAGGGTGACCATTCAGGGTCTATCATGGCTCATTTTTCTTGTACCACAAGGCAAGAAATTTACAGATGTTAGAACTGCTACAAAACATACCATATAGACTCTAGAGATACGTTTCAGACTTTCAGTCATGAGTTCTATAGCAGATGAAGAGCAAAATTAAAACAACTGACACAAAGCTCACTGAAACATCAATTTTGATTCATCTACTTTGAGTTGCTACAGTATATTCTATGGTATAAGAAAGTCAAGTTTGAGAATTTACAAAATTGACTCCATGACCAGAAGCAAAGATTCAGCAGAAAGTTTTCATATCCCATAATACTTCGAACCAACAATGTTAAGTAACAGTATACTTCAAAAACAGAAGCAGAGTACATACCCGATTCTGCGATGGAGAAAACTCGTTAAAGCATAGCAGAATCACATGTTTGGCATTGTTGCTCCTTGTGAGTGTAAGTGCTGCCATGCTTACAGCTCCCACGATGCTCAAGATTTGATCCTCGGTACATAGACACTTCATCAGGGATTGCATCGCTCGGGTTCTGATATCTCCAAAACAAGGACACAAATAAAACAATACCCGTATACAAATCAAGAACCAAATCACGAATCATGAAAAGTAGAACACAAGAAGTCAAGAATCAAAAGACTGTGTACCCGATAGGATCAGTGCATACGGTTACAAACCGAGGCCGGTGCTGAGTGACCAAATCAAGCACCTGGCTGATTTGTTCATTGCTGCATCTCTCCATCAGCCTCTGAAATACGTGGTGGCCAAAAGGGTCCACCATCAGCTCACAAGTGTGGAAGACGACTTCGTTGAAAACAATATCAATCGTCTCCTTGGAACCAACACAGATCTTCTTTTGCAACTCGTTGCTTGAATCTCGTTCTTTAGCGAGCGAAACAATCGAGCCAAAGCCATTGTGGTGACGGCTCTGATCCAAGAAACGGTTCCTTGAGAGATAAGGAACCTCTCGCAGATCTCCTCCACTTAAGAAACCATTCAAGGATCCTCCATTAACATAATCGTTCTGAATCGATAGTGTCTGCAAGTATTCACTCATCATCAACTGTTGCGAATCTGTTTCACGGTGAGGATACGGAGGAGAACGAGGCCAATAACCACCACCACCACCAGCAGAACCACCGCCATTGATCGGTGAAGACGACGACGATCCATTGCTCCAAAGTGAAGGATTCTGCTGACGAACAGTTGGATCGCGAACAGAGAGGTTACCCAAAGAAGATGCTAGGGTTTGCAGATCAACACCATTCGGGAAGCGAAATAGACTCTGTTCGTCGACGACTCTGTGACGGCTTTCCGGTTGAAGCGGAGGAGATTGCGACTGAGACTCAAATCGTTGATGATTCACCGGATTCTCCTCCGTCGCGTCGTGGTCGCCGTTTTTGTTGATCAGATGCGACTCCATAGCTAAAGGAAAGAAGCTGAAGAGAGAAGAAAAAAGAGAGACCTTAATTAACTCTTCTCTGGAGATTTTAGGGAGATATATAAAAAGGAAAAGAAAAGATTTTAGGTAATTAATGGAGAAAAACGTGCTTAAGGTAAATAAGAGAGATTTAATTGAAGAGATAAGCTTAAACAAGGAAATTTTAAGAGATTAGATACGTTTTAAGAAAATCTGAAAATCTTCTCTATGTATTGCCCAATATATTTCTTCTTTCTTTCTTTCACTTCTTTCTTCTGCTAATTTTTTTTTTCTTTTTGCCATGCACATTAAATAATCACAAAAATATTCCAATACGACTCGTACAGTCAAAGTCGCAGTGCACTTCAAACGAAAGAATCGCGTGGACCACACTAGTAAACTTCTTATTGGTTATGTGACATTAAAAAAAAATATGTTTTATATCGACGTAATAAAAGATTTTCTTGTATTTTACTTTTCGATCATTATCTATTGAAATCAAAATCTTAACCGAATATTCAATATTTGATTTAATCTAATCTGTTATTATTTTATTTTATTTTTCATTTGATAATGACAGTAATAAAAAGTTTCGAAACATTTTATAAATTAATAATATCGAAATAATAATATTTTATTAATTTTTTGTGATATTAATTTATTTATAAAAGAAAAAAAATTCTTCTATAATTTTTTAAATTTTTTTAAATAATATTATATTTTAAAATTTTAACAAATCTCGTAATGTAAATTATGCAATCATAACTATCGTAATAAAATAATTATTAATATAGTAATCATATTTAAAATATTATATTTATATATATTTGCATAAATGTATATAATTATTAATTTATATTTTTGTTGGGATCATATATTTACATAAGAATTTTTTAAAAAAATATTATCTTATTATCTTATTATCTTATCGAATTTGGTGGATTTTTATATTGGTCTGATTTGAGATTAATAAAATTTATTAATTTATAATAATTATTAATTTATTAAATATTAATTTATAGAGATTTTACTGTATTCTTTTTTTTTATTGTGTCTCAAAAAAAAAAGCAACTCAAAAATCCATAACACGGACTCTAACTCTGTAACAGAACTGGTTCAGGCTATAGAAACGCTCATACGAAACGCTCGCTAACTACTCGACAAACAATTCAGTTCATAGTATTTTTCAGAAATGGTTTGCAGTATCTTCGTGATAGTGACTCTGTTTTTGTTATATTTTGATTGTTTTGCTGAGTTTTTTTAGTACTCTTCCTTATTACCATTTGTAGATATTTTTGGAGTAATCAACAAATTTAACATTCAATCAAACATTCAATCAAAGAAAGATAAAAAATGTTGAGAAGACAAAAACTAATGCCCAACTAAATTATCTCCAGAAAATGAGCGAAAATCCAATATATGTAAAAATTATGAAAAGAATCTCCGAAATGTTGGAACCTTATGAATTGAAATGAGAAACTGAAGTTACGTACCAACCGAACAAACATCAAAATTTTATGAAGGAGCCTCCAAAATCACGATGATATAAAGGGATTAAGGCCACTACCTTTTCTTTTACCGGTAAGCACAACCCTCGATATAGTGAAACTTGCCGGTTATATCGCTAGAGGATTGATTAGAGTAATGTTTTGGAAGCTACAAAGCCACGAGTTATATTGGTGTTAGACCCATGCAGGTTACTGGTTAACCCACAGGTCAGAATATGTTTCTTTTAGAATTAAAATTTGTTTTGCTATCTCTAGATTTTATTCTATATACATAAATTTTCTATTTTTAAATAAAATTCGACACGCGTCAAACATGCTTATTATCCACGAAATTTAAAAAAATATTTCAAAAATAATTAAAACTAATATGTTTTATCTTTTTTGGGGCAAAATATGGTTTTACGTTATAAACTTATTGTTATAATTAAAGTTGCTACAGTAAAAATTTGTAAATAGAAATAAACGGGAGATTCGGCTTATCTTTTAAAATATAAAATTGAAAGACTATCGAGCAATAAATCTATTATAGTATTTGTGAAGTGAATTGGGCTGTGGTTTAACGCACAAATTTTTGTGTTGTTATGATTAATGAAATTCTGATGATTTGATTGGTTGATAATCGTTATAATTTGATTGGTTGAATTAACTAATTTTTAATTATTAAAATTGATATTAGTTGTTTTAAAAATGGAAAACTTCTATAATTGAGATAAAAAAAGCCATGGGCCATAACATTTTCTCTCGAATAACTTGGCCCAATTTTCAAATACAGAAATATTATAGATACCTTCTAATATGTTGTTTGTGCTGAATGAGATGGTAGCTGTGTTGGTTAGGTGTTTTGTCCATTTATCGAATGCTCACGGGTTAGAATCTTGTGGTTAGTTTATTTTTTGTTTTTAATTTTTAGATTTTAGTTACAATTCGATGTTTGGAAATATTTTTTATTTATTAAATATTTTATAAAAGGAAATATGTCATAATTTCCTTTGTTATTATCTAGAATGGAATCTTTACATTTTTATAATTAATAACTACGAAATTCATGGGAAGATAATATCGTATACAGAACAATAATTACCTTTTCGTATTTTTAACAATAATAAACCCTAGGTTGTTTAGACGTATAAATATGAGCGTTTTCAATCAAACGTCTCATAATTTACGCATTAGTTTTTCTATTAGAGTTCCGTATTTATTTTGCTAGGGTTTTTATAATAGCATTAACTTTTTGGATCTCTTTAGAAAAGATTCATCATGTTTGTCTATTTGTATGCAAACTTAACTATGTGTTCGTCTAAGTACAACTTTGATCATCCATCTAAAGACATCATCACTTGGGGAGTTCCGTCTACTGCTTCGGGTATATATCTAACTATTATCAAATTTAATAATAGAATATATGCTTTCAAATTTTTTAACGAATTCTAAAAATTTATTCGACTATAGGTTTTGATAACCAGGCTTATGCTCGCGGGTTAAGGTCTGTGTTGAAATCGCATCGTCAGAATATGGATCACAAAGAGATGACTGATTATCGTTACGTAACTCCATACGTTTTCGTGGATATCACAACAAAAAAAGGTTGTTGTACCTCTTTAGGTTATTCATGCAAGTTATAATACTTATTAGTAGTTGTTTTGTATTTGTAGGTTATCCATGCAAGTTACTTATGGGTTCTGCTATCGACGAATGGACCTTGCGGACATATAATCCTGTTATCGAAGGTAGTCCTGTCTATTAATCTTACAGTTTTATACATTTTGTAGTGCTATATCTTAGTCTTTCAGATACATACCTTTATTATATATTAATCTACGGACGTGTTCAATTTTTATGTAGATATTGACTCTGCGTATTATATATCTATTCTTGATCACAAGTTTTTTTATCAAAGGAGGTATTTCTGCTCTTCATGTAATATACTTTTGTTAATGGTGTATATTAAATTTTATACGTATTTATGTTTGTTCTAATGTTTGTTTTGTGCATTTAGGTTCTGATCGTGTTAATACGAGCGATCTTGCTCAGAAGACCTTTATATGAGATTTTGCGAGGAATGCTTGGGTTATGAATAAAGAATCTAATGGTTTCAATTCTTTGTTTTTTGTTTTGAATACCGTTTTTTTTTTAAAGAATACTAATTACGCCGTTTTTTCATATATTTATCTATGCAGAAGATAGTGACTCTGATGATACCGAGGTGTTATCTGGTCGTGGTACTGATGATGATTATGGTTTTGAGGATTATATGGGATCTGATTCAGAGACTCGTGATGATATTGATGATATGGACCAAACAGATGAATACGATTCTGAAGATGATTTTATTGACGACAATGAGTCTTGTGAAGGATCTGATGGTTCAAGTGATAACTCAGAAGGTGATAGCGGTGATGACGAAGATGAAGATGATGACGATGCTGATTCAACTGATGATGATGAAGATGGTGATGAAGATGTTATGTTGGATGATGAGACTGAGATTGACGATGATAGTGAAGATCAGCGAAACGTAAAACTGAGTGATATACTCATCGAAAATAATATTAGTATATCTGGACACCAGAATTCGGTGTGTACTTATACAGTTTCTCTTGGTTCAATGTGTTTTGGAAGGTGTGTGTCACATTTGAGTCCTTCCAAAGATGGTTGTACTATCTTTGTTAAGGTTTTACAGACGTGGACGCATATGCTAATTTCAAAACATTCTTCCATGGAGCTCATATTGTCGGATGAACAGGTATTTATTGTACTATTACACAATAATATTCTAAATTTTTGTTGGTGTCTAATTGACTGTTTTATTCACAGGGTGTTAAAATTCAGGCCGCTGTTAGGGATGGTGAGATCGGTGTCGCATTGTCTCGCATAGATGTTGGTAGTTGGATTATTATCAGTCGTTTTTCTGTTATCGATTGTGAGGATAGTTGTAGACCGACTTCTCATGAATACAAAATATTGTTCCTACCATCAACTATCATTGACAAGACTTCACGTAGATGTGAAAATGCTTATTTTGACTTCGTTGATTTTCAAAGGATATTGAATCGTGTCCATGATGATGACTATTTAGTTGGTGTGTTTATTTTCGATTTAGTTATTGAATTTCGTTATTATTATGTTGCTGATGTTAACATGGTTTAGTTTTTGTTGTTTATGAAGATTTGATAGGTCGGGTCTTAAATGTAAGTCGATCTGGGACGTGGTGTGGTTTACTGACTGGAGAGCATTCTGTTCCTTCATATGGCAGTCCATGAATGATATATGTGATTCCGAGATATGGGATTCATATTCAACCGTCACATTCTGTCTTAGGGATAAACGGTACTGTCTGCTGGATGTTTTAAACTGTATATTGTCGTTTTATTTATTCTATCCAACTGATTATGTGTGACGTGTTTTAATTTAGTGGTGTTGATTTGAGTTGTGAATTGTCCGGTGAGATGGCTAAAAACTTTTATGCATCTTGGAGACGCTGTGATCAAGATATCA